GGACGGGAAGTCCGCAGGTCGGGAGGCCCTCAGGACGGGAAGTCCGCAGGTCGGGAGGCCCTCAGGACGGGAAGTTCTCAAGTCGGAACTCTGCGGCAGGACCAACAAATCGGATGGTTTGTTAGTCGGGATGTCTGTAGCTACTCCAAATAAGTCAGATGGTTTGCAAGTCGGGAGGATTGGCAGTCGGACCAATGCGGTTGTAGATTGGCAGTCGGGCCAAAAGGGCGGAAGGTCTATGGTCGGCTCAAAGAGTGGAATATAGGGATAATTTTGGTCTGCTGAAGACACGTGTCAGCAGGAGAAGGATTGGAAGACGGTTGGGAAGGAGACGTTGTAACCGTTCGGGCGACGGTTTTCAGTACGGTTTCTCAGAGAATATTTAAAGGTTTGGATAATCATTTGGCAAGGCATCTTCAATCAACTTCAACAAAGCAAAGTCAGATTTGGGGATCACCACTTTAAATTTCAGTCTTTTATTTTCCAGTTTATTTTCTGTACCATACAGTGTTTAGAGATTCCTAATCTCAGGCACTAATTAATCAAGTTTAAGGATATTTTCTATATCTTTGAATTTTACTTTATTTTTGTTGAAAAATTACATCAACAGATATAAATAGATGATGTAACATTTTGAATATAAAATAAATTTGTAGTATAATATAAAAAAAAAATTTATTTCATTTGATACTTTTGGAGAGAAAAAAAAAAATTGAATAATAAAAACTTTATATAAAATCTAAAAAAAAAAAACACAACCTTTATTTTTATTCTTTTCTTCGAACAACAAATATTTCTGTTTACATTTAAAACTCTATGTTTTATAAAATTAATTTATGTTAATTATAAATAAAAATATATATATATTTTTTGAACTGTTATTATATAAAAATTTATTCTCTACAAAATAATATCTATATTTATTTAAATATATATTCTAATTTTTTTATTATATATTTTAAATTTATTTTAAAACTACCAATATTATTAATCACATAAAAATATTATAATAATAACATAATTCACTATCATTAAATAATTAAATATCATTATCTTAAATAATGTCGCTAATGAAATGAGACAATTGTTCCGGAACGGATGAAATATTTTTTATAAAATTTTACATTCAAAATTTTTAAGCAAAAATACTTGTACGCACCATTATTATCATATTTTAAAAAGGGTAAACTTTTTTTTAGTCCCGTAACTGGACTCTTTTATCATTTTAGTTCCGTAAGTGGAGCCTGTCGCAAACTAGTCTAATAAGTGAAAAATTTTTGCTGTTTTAGTCCTCCAGCGCCGGAGACGCCCGCATGGCTTGTCGGAGGTGACGTGTCCGCCAGGTGTCCCGCTAGGTCAGCGACACCCGGCGGACACGTGGATTTATTCTATTTTTTTTCATTTTTTTATTTCTTTTTATTTTTTCAATTTGACCAAATAAAAAAAATTAAAAATATACAAATAAAATTAAAAATAAATTAAAAGTAAGTTTTAAAAAAATTTAAAAAATTAAAAAAATCCACGTGTCCTGGCGGACACGTCACCTCCGGCGATCCACGCGGGCGTCTCCGGCGCCGGAGGACTAAAATAGTGAAAAATTTTCACTTATGAGATTAGTTTGCGACAGGCTCTACTTACGGGACTAAAATGATAAGGGGGTCCAGTTACGGGACTAAAAAAACAGTTTACCCTTTTAAAAATTACATGTTTTCAAACCATTGCACAAAATTTTTTTTTAAGGAGATTATGTGTAATATTTTTAAAAAAGGGTAAACTTTTTTTTTAGTCCCGTAACTGGACCGACCCCCTTATCATTTTAGTCCCGTAAGTGGAGCCTGTCGCAAATTAGTCCCATAAGTGAAAAATTTTCGCTATTTTAGTCCTCCGGCGCTGGAGATGCCCGCGTGGCTTGCCGGAGGTGACGTGTCCGCCAGGTGTCCCGCCAGGTCAACGACACCTTGCGGACACGTGGATTTATTTATTTTTTTTCATTTTTTTTATTTTTTTAATTGGACCTTATAAAAAAATTAAAAAATGCAATTAAAAATAAATTAAAAATAAGTTTTTAAAAAAAAATTAAAAATGAAAAAAAAATCCACGTGTCCGCCAGGTGTCGCTGACCTGGCGGACACGTCACCTTCGGCGAGCCACGCGGGCATCTCCGGCGCCGGAGGACTAAAACTGCAAAAAAATTTCACTTATGAGACTAGTTTACGACAGGCTCCACTTACGGGACTAAAATGATAAAAGGGATCTAATTACGGGACTAAAAAACAGTTTACCCTTTAAAAAATAGAGGGGATTTCATGTCTTTTTAGGATTTTGTGCTAGATTTTTTAAAATACGAAAATCCTCTTGTAATTTTTAAACTATATAATAGTATAGTGTAAACTTTTAGAATCACTTATAAGTTTGAATAATTTTGTCAATTTTTTTTTTTTAAAAAAAAAATTATATTGAAAAACAAAATGTATAAATTATTATTTTTTATTATTATTGAGACAAGTGCAAAAAAAAAATATTTTCTTTATATCAATTCAAAAAAATAAATTTATAGAAAAAATGGCATAATAATGGTAGATAGGGGGGTATTATTTTAATTTAATAAAAAATATATATTCAGCCCCGACGAAAGTATTATATACACCTGCTTGATATATATATATATATATAATAACTTTTCGTTTACTTAGAAAATAAATATTTATTTTATAAGGAGTTTAATAACATTGTATGTTAATAATAGTTGATGATAATTTTGGTATGTAAACTCCAAATCAATATTAAAAGCTACTTAACTTAGCTATGAACTCGACTTGAATGCGTGATAATTATAATTCTTTTACTTTTAATTATACTAGTTATCTTAATGATAGTATGCTTATTTTAAATTTTTTAATTTATAATTCATTTAATTTTAATTATACCAATAATTTTAATTTAAAATTATTTGTATTAAATGATAATTATTTTCGTTGATACTTATACTCCTCCTAAATTTTTGTATTTACAATAAGGGTGTGTTTGTTTGGGGGTTTGGATTTTGGATTAGGATTTGAATAGTAAAAATTTTGAATTTGAATAGTTGTATGATGTGATATAAATATGTGTTGATGTGATGTTTTGAATGTAAAATTGATTTTTAGTATAATATAAAAAATAAAAAATAGGTGTTTGATTTGATGTTTTTTGAGGGAAAAAATAGGATGAATAGTGGAAATCCAAACAAATCCCTCAAACAAACACACCCTAAATAGATATCATATCCCGGACTAAGAGAATACTGTACTATTATCTATAAAATACTACTACATTAAAATTTACATAAAAATAAATAAAAATTTTAAAGGAAACAATTTATAATTAAAACTAAGGATCACAATTCAGATTTGCCTAAATTTTTTTCTGTACCAGCTCAGCCCAGCTCGGTTTCAAATAGGGTCTGAAAATCAAGTATGAGCATATAATACATAAACTTTGTCATCAAATCATAAATTTTGACATTATTTCATTAGTTAATATAAATATAAAATATTAATTTTTCAAATATTAATTTTAAAACATAAACTTTGTCATCAAATCTTAAAATTTGATATTATTTTATTATTTAATATAAAAATAAAATATAAAATATTAATTTTAGTAAGTGTAGTCGGGTCAGACATAGCTCCGAAAAATTTCTGACTTATGGGGTATTTGGGAAAGAACTTTTTGAAGAGCTTTTAACAGCTTTTATTGTTTGACTAGTCAAAAACTAATTTACGTGTCTGGTAAATTAGCTTTTTGAAATAGTTTTTTGGACCAAAAAAGCTAATTGCTAAAAAGCTAATATATCCGGCGTTTTGAAAAAAAAAATACTCCCTCTGTCCACAAAAAAAAAAGTATACAATTACTTTTGGCGCGGTGTTTAAGAAATAATAGTATTTTAATTATAGTAGGTAGTTAAAAGTAGTGTAATAACATTTTTGCCCTTGCTTTTTGGTGTAAAAGTAATGATATGATGTAAAGTAGGGGTATTTGTGAAAAAAAGTAAAGTATTTAATGAAATGCTTACTTTGTCCCAAAATAGAAACATGTATACTTTATAGCTGGACGGAGGGACTATCATTTTAATTTTATTTATTCCTTATTTATCTTTAAAAATTAATTAAATATTTCATACATATAAATATATTTTTATTTATTAATATATTTAATTTATTAAATTATAATTTTATTTTTATAAATTTAAAATAATAATCATTATTAATTATTAATTTATTACCAATAAATCATTTTATTTGTAAAATATATAAATTTATTAAAATTATATCAAATATAAAAGACAGATATTATTAATTTATTTATATATTTTTTATTATATAAATTTTACATTAAAAATTAATAAACAATAATTAATATAATAAAAATATATACGAAAGATTTATTATTTTATATTTTAGCGATTTCAATAACAAATTATTATTTTTTAATAAAAATATTTTTCTCAAATTTAAAATATAAAAATAAATATTTTATAATATTTATATAATTTTCAACAATTAAGAACAAAAATTTTCATAAATTTTAAATTGAAATGAATAAAATTAAATATTTTAAAATATAATATGTAAATATTTTTAATTGTTATTTTACGTATAAACAGTGTCAGATCGTTATTTTAGCAAACACTTTAATACAAATAGCTGAATCAGCTAGTCAAACCAGCTAACCGATAATAGCTAATTGAATTAACTAACTGTTAAAACTATCAAGTAACTAACATCTAAAAAGTATCAACTAATCGTGAAATGCACCCTTAACTCAAACACAAACTTTTGGTCGAATTTTCAAATTAAAGAAAAGAAAATTAATTAAAAATAGGGGTAATAGAATTTACTTAAAAAAAGCAGACACGTGTAATGAGGCATGGGCGTGACTAACTTAAGCCGGGGCGGCGCACGACCGATGTTATCGTGCGCACATAGTTGCAGCACGAAAAAGAATGAGAAAATGGAGCGCAATGGTTGCTTGTGGGAGAGAGACAGAAGAAGAGAGAAGGAAAAATATTGGAACTAGAACTACAAGAGAAGTAGAGAGAGAAACTGGTCAATTCGGCACACCCATGCCCTTACTGAGTCACAGAGAGAGAGAGAAAGAAAGAGTCTCTGAACCGATCGAGTCCAATTATCTGTCTATCCCAATCCCCGCCCCAAAACAAACCCTCCAACACAAACAGGCGTGAAAAAAATGGAGAAGAAATTGGGAGTAGTCTCCTTTACTACTACTAGTTCTACTTCTAGTATAGTAACCCGTATCGACGCCACTACCTTCCCTATCTTCTCCAACCCTAACAATAACAAAAGAGCATCCAAACCTGCCTTTTATCTTCCCCCACCCCCACCCCCACCCCCACACCCGCCTTCTTTTTCCCCATTACAAATACCGACGCGGATGTGATTTGTTTGTTTATATCCATGTGTTCAACCACCCATTATTATTCCCACCCCTCAATTTCACCCCTCTTTCGCCCCTCCCTTCTTCGCCGACTTTCTTGATTCTCGGTAAGTTTCGTTTCGTTTCTTTTGTGGCTTTGGTTTTTGGTCTTTTTCTGCGTATGCGTGTCAATTGGGTTCTGGGATTTTGGGGGTTTTGCTGAATTTGTTGGTTTGGGGGCTGCGATCTGGCGTCTGGGTTTGTGTTGATCGCTCAATGCGGGGTGGGGGTTGTTCCGTTTTGTGTTATCTGTTTATCTGAAAGCGTTTGTGACTTGGCTCCTGGTATTTTTTTTTTTGTTTGGGATGGAATGTGTGTTCTTGTTTAATTGGTGTTTGTTTTGGTTAATTTGATTTGTTTTCCCTCTATGGCCTTTCGTCTTTAGACTACTGTTATGTGCATTCTGATATATATCCATATTGATTCATGCAAATTGGGATTTTCAATCAGCTATCCCTGTATCCTTTCGCACACCCTTTTTTTATTTTTTATTTTTTATTTTGGTATGAGGGCACCCACAACAAATCCTTTTTCTAGGTTTGTGTAATTGCCTTTGCTCTGGTGATAATCCTCTGTTTCTCATTGTGCTTACTGTTGTGCAAATAGTTTGGCTTGATTGGTACTGTTGTGGTTCTATAAAAATTATTTGTCTCTAATATTTTGTCTTCAAAATGACTTTTTTACTGATTGTCTGCACTTCATTCATTGCTTTACAAACTGCTGTTGCAATGCGCATAAATTGTGAATAAATTTTCAGGGATCTTGATGCTGTGTGTTGATTCCTGATTCAATACATTTATCCATGCATGGTAACATTGAGTTGTTGCAAGTGAAAATTTTGGAAACTATTTAAATGGACCAGTCTAGAGGCCCTCGATTGGAGGGAATTGGAATTGCTGCAAAGAGAAAGAGAAGCCAAACTTCACGAAGACCTAAACCTGAGCCTGAGCCTGAGCCTCACCCACAATCGGATTCCCCCAAGTCATCAACACCAGTTTCAGATGATACAAGTAAGATGTCAAGTGATGAAAACATCTGCGATGGTAAGTCTGGGGGAAAGATGTTCAATTTGAACCAGTGTGTGTCGAGGTCTTTGCCAGTCAATGGATCGGATGGCGGATCTAGCATGATTCCACAGGATGGAGATGGTGTTGAAAATAAAGTGAAAAAGGTTAAGTTGAAAGTTGGTGGTGTGACACGCACTATCCAACCCAAAGCCACCTCTAATGGGATGGCGGGCCGCAATATTTCAGTAAAGACTAACCAGCTCTCTGATGATGCTCGGCTACAACAGAGGCTGACTTCTCAGGTTGAAACCTTTGTGCTCCTTTCTTTGTTCTGACATGATCTATAAAATCCCTTTGCATGCTGACTAACTTTATACTGACGATTTTGTTTGGTCCTCTGTTTGTTTCTCCTTGCTAACATTTCACTTTTGCCAAAGGGTTGAATCTCACATACCCTCTACGTTGGCATTTTGTTTAAAATTTTGTTGTGTATTAATTATTGCATTGAATTTACCTGTTCTGTGCATTTAATTATGATGAACCAACACCTCCATGGCCCCTTGAGTTCAAACATTTTGTATTGCATCTCAACTTAGTTAATTGAGTGGTAGATGATTTGTTCAGAGAATCCATGTTTTGGCAGTAAAATAAGATATATACCATTGTAGGTCTATTCAAGACGTGAAATGGAACAGCCATCCTTAAAAGTATTCTGGTTTATTGCTTTTCTTCTCTTCATTTATGAATTATATTACTGCTGATGATTATTGATGCACAAATTAATCTGTTGGAAGCAATACAGTGTTATGCATATATAGCGGATTTGAAATTTATTCATTAAGCTGAATTTAATTTATTTTGGTGTACGAATCCTATGCATTAAATTCAGATTATTGCGATATTGCTTATTTTACCATTTTTATGTGTTTGCCTTTATTGTTTTTTCATTTTTCGGCATTTATATATCGTTCAGGAAAGTTCAGACGAATATCATTCTCCGCCGACTGATAAGAAAAGTGGTCTACAAGGGATCCCGTGGAAGGATTTCTCAAAAGGCAGTTTCAGCATTGGGGCAGAGGATATGGGGAGGCCATCAACAAGGATTGCTTCGGATAATCAAGGGGGTAAATCAGAAGCGGTTCGCAAGAGCAAAAGAGCTCCTAAGAGACGCGTCTTGGACGACGATTTCAATGAAGATGATGAAGATGATGAGATCCGGTACTTGGAGAAACTCAAGAATTCAAAGATGAGTGGAAATAAGGGCTCAGAGGCACTCTCAGCCAGAAAACCACAGAGAGGGGTTAAGCATGACAATATGGAAGACGGTGGAAGGCTTGGTAAAGATGCCAGGAAGTCGAGATCTGGAGACTTCGCTTACGAGGAGGACGAGGAGGAGGAAGAGGAAGAACCCTTGTCTGACGGTGAATCTGAAGGGAAAAGGAAGAAGAAACAGAAGAAGGACCTCTCAGAGTTGCCCACAGACACCAAGAAAGAAATTGCACTTACAACTCGTCAAAGGGCCCTTTTGAACAAAGATTCCTCTTCCCCATCCGGTGCAAATCAGATCGAGTACCCGAATGGTCTACCGCCAGCTCCATCTCGAAGTTAGTCCAAAGTCTCTTCTTTTGTGGTGTTTGGTACTAATCCATGATTCCATTATTTGACATTGTTTGTCTTGGCTAACTACAATAACAGAACAAAAGGACAAAGGATCTGAAGTTGATCAACAATTGAAGAAGGCAGAGGCTGCTCAGAGGCGAAGGTTGCAGAATGAAAAAGCAGCCCGTGAAATAGAGGTCCATTTTCTGACATAGATTTGTTCCTTTTTTTATATATATAGATTATTCAATATGGATGTTAGTTAAGAGGTGCATTGTAATTTTTAGGCTGAGGCGATTAGGAAAATACTTGGTCAAGATTCAAGCAGGAAGAAGAGAGAAGAGAAGATGAAGAAACGGCAGGAAGAGTTGGCACAGGTAACATTATATACTTTAGACGAGGTAGTGTGCATGGAAATTAATTAATGCTAATTTTTCCCTTTAAATATCCAAATGAAACAGGAGAAGGCTGTCAGTGCTCAAATGCTTGCATCAAACACTATTAGGACAATCATTGGACCTTCTGGGACCACTGTCACATTTCCAAATGAAATGGGCTTGCCTAAACTTTTTGATCCCAAGCCTATCAGGTATCAGATGTTTGTTTAGGATGTGTTCTTTTATCAAACTTCGACTATTCACTAAATTCTGCACCCCCACCCCCAATTTTACATTTAAAACATCACATCAATACCTATTTATATTATATCATATAACTATTCAAATTTAAGATTTTTACTATTTAAATCCCAACCAAAAATCCAAACCCTCAAACAACACACCTTTGTATTATCTTCGTAAGAATGTTCCTCTTCATACTACGCCCCCTCAAAATGTACTCTGTGATTTACCAGTGATGATATAATGATATTTCAATGTTTTTCATGTATGTGGGACTATCTCAGTTATCCTCCTCCGCGGGAAAAGTGTGCAGGTCCATCCTGTACAAATCCTTACAAGTATCGGGACTCCAAATCGAAGCTTCCCCTTTGCAGTCTGCAGTGTTACAAGGCAATCCATGAAAAGATGCAGAAGGAGGAAGCATCCTGCTAAAGTTATGGTGCTAATTTTTTCTCCTGTAGTGTTATTGTAAATGTTATTGCTGCTGCTGCTGCTATGTTATGTTGAGATGCTTGGAAGCACATTGCATCCAATTCTCCTATCCTTTCTCAAATGCAAATGGTAGAAAGGATCAGGCATTAGTTACCTTTACTTACTGATATATTTCAATTTGCAGTAGAGAAGACCATCATCATCTTCTTGTGTATCCAACTATCCATTAGAGCTATAATCTGGACATGAAAACTCTTACTGCTATCAAAGTTTATTTACCCTCGAAAGCTGTCTGGTGTCGCATTCTAGACTGTTGCTTATTCAGGCATATAAGTTTGATCTTGCTCAAGCCTTGCTAAATCTGTAGCGATTTGCTTAAAAAACAATTGATGTGAACCATACCTTAGCTTAGCATAGAATTGCATTATCGTAATCAAATTGGCTATCCTGTTGTGATGATTGGCACTACTATCGTTATTATTATCAACTGGGAACGGAAGGAAAAGCTTATGGTATGTGTGCACAGTGGTTTTTTTATTTAAGTCTGCTAAAAGGTGTCTCCCCCTCTCTTGGCTTTGTGAATTCTTCTCCTACTTGTACATTCACTGCTCAGTTGCTTAGGCTTAGGCTTAGTCTCCCTGCTCCCTCAAAGCCTTCACTGTTCCTGTTATTGATTTCTGCTATTTGATGTGATTGTGTCATGCTTGCACTGCCTCTCATGTAGAAAAAGGAATAAAAGCCAATTTTCACCATACTGCTGCATCTCCCATGGTTGGAGCTGTGGCTGATGGTGACGATGAATATGCCTAACATTCAAGCTTTCGCATTGGCATAGGCATAACATTCTTGATTCTGCTTTGCTTTGCTAAAAATAGAACTGAAAGTTGTGAAGTACTGAGTTGGGTGATTGATGATGTGATAATTAGTTGATGTTAAGATAGCAGCAGTAGCACTCTGCTTCAATTGTGTAAGTAGATAGTAAGGAATTAGGATCATTCACCACTCATGCCATGGGAAGTGTGGCTGTATAGCAATACATGCTTACATATGGTGCAGCTCCCTATCAGAGGGCAACAACAACAAAAAGAAGAATGGGGAAGAGGATGAGGGTTTACGCTGTAGGGCTTTTGTTTGTTTGTTTTTTGGGTTTAGGGTTGAGGGTTGTGCAGAAGAAGAGGAAGAGGAAGAAAGAAAGAAAGTGATGTTATGTTCTGCTATGTTATGATGTAGTGAAGAGATGACAAACTGTATATTGCTTTGCCTAACTAACTCATCGTAGCCAGAAACGACACAACAACATGCATAAACTAACTTATCACACAACACATCTGGAAGTTGGATGTACGGTTTTCTTGGCTGATTTAGAGTGAGCTGTGCTGTGGGCGAACTTAGCAAGATGGTTGAAGTGGGTGGGTGATCCTATTTTTCATTTTGTCATTGTTTGAGCTGATACTAATACTAGTACACACAGAAACAGCTGTTGCCCTTGTCTCAAGCTCTGTTTGATGCAGACAAACACTCACATCCAAGACAAATCTGATGATGTTTGTGTTCTTGTCTTTCTCAATTCTCAATTGTCATGCCTGATTTATTCCTCCGCAAAGATCACCTCCCACTTCTCTCTCTCTCTCTCTCATGGCGGATTCCTTCTGTGCTCCTACTGCTGTTGAAGACAAGTTTGACCTTTCCAGTTCCACCACAGCCACAGGTGCAGTAGTAGCAAAACAGATCCAATTATCAGACATGCCTATGCCTATACCTATGACTGAACAGACAGAAGAAGAGGAAGAGGGAGAGGTTGATTCATTCTGCAACCAGTATGGCTTCTACCACCAACACAATCAAATTGAAGACTTCTTCTTATACATGCCCAAGGATCAACTCCAACTCCAACTCCAAGATATCATACAACAACAACAACAACAACAAGGACTGGTTTCCTGCTCTACCACAATGAATATTGTAGCAGACCACCGAGACCAGCAGCAGATCTTACCACAACCGATCAAAGATATAGATATAGATATAGATATGAACACGGATAGAAAAATATCAAACGATAGCCAAGGATGTCAGAAACTATCGACAGACCAAATCTTGAAGATGGCCGGGGAGAGATTCGTGCAGTTTTCTTCTAACAAGTTCATTAACACCAATATGTCCATACATCCATACGGTTCCTCTCTCTCTCATCTCTCTGTTGAAGACAAACAAGACGTCGAACTGGCACAGCTTCTCCTAGCTGCAGCTGAGAAGGTTGCTTGCCATCAATTCGACAGAGGGCTCAGATTGCTGGATACTTGCCAATGGATCTCTTCAAGCCAGGGAACTCCAGTGCAGAGAACTGTCTTCTACTTTGCCGAAGCGCTTCAAGAGAGAATTGTTAAGGAAACAGGAAGATCTGACAAGAAACAAACTTATGCTGATGCTTGTGTGATGAGAAATATCCTCGCTTTCGTGGCTATGCATCAAGAGCTTCCTTTCTTCCAAGTCTTGCATTTCACAGCAGTCCAGACAATACTCGAAAGCGTCAGAACAAAATCTAAAGTTCATGTGGTTGATTTTCAGATATTGACTGGTGTCCAATGGCCGGGACTGATGCAAGCCATAGCCGAGCAGAAAATGAGTTGTCCCGGAGGCTATCTTAAGATCACTTCCATTGAAATGTCTAACAGCCACGAATCGGAGAGGACAGGGGAGCTCTTGAAGAGCTTTGCTAGGTACTTAAAGTTACCATTCTCTTACAGGGTTGTGCACTTATCAGACATCAAAGATCTCAGAGAAGAGGACTTAGAGATAGATCCCGGGGAGGAGGCTGTCGCAGTTCACTTCCCTTTTATGCTACGAACTCTAATATCAAAACCGGCTTGCTTGAAGAACCTGATGGGAGTAATGCAGAAGATGAAGCCATGTGTAATGGTGGTCAGCGAAGCGGAGGCGAATCACAACTCACCCTCATTTGTGAGCCGTTTCATCGAAGCATTATTCTTTTACGGTGCCTTGTTCGATAGCCTGGAGGAGAGCATGGCCAGGGATGATAAGAACAGGACGGCAATAGAAACAGGGGTGTTTCGGACAGGGATACGCAACATTGTCTCGACAGAGGGGTGCGAAAGAGTGACTAGAAGTGTGAGCATTAATGTCTGGAGGGCATTCTTCACCAGGTTTGGAATGATAGAACTGGAACTCAGCACAGCTTCAATATACCAGGCTTCTTTAATTGTGAAGCACTTCTCTTCTGGGAAATCTTGTACTTTGGATGTCGGCACCAAATGCCTGATCGTCGGGTGGAAAGGGACGCCGTTGTTTTCGCTGTCCGCCTGGAAGTTCCACTGAGTTTAAAGTAGGTTTACAAAGGGACAGATTCACTTCAAAAGATTGATTCAAGATTCATTAATAACTCACATAATGTAATGAAACAGTTGCGTCGAAGAAGCAAGAATGTATGCAGTACCAATTGGCATACATTGTTTTATCCATAACTCAACTAAACCATCCTAACATGAAGATCCTTGCAACAACAAGAGGAAATGCACATAGATAGAGGATAAAAAAAAAACAAGTTCTGGCCTCATTCTACGAAGAAAAAACAGCTTCGACAAGAACATGTTTTCTCTTCGGATACCCCAATCCAAACATGTGGTTCAGATACACCTTTCCATCTTTCACAGTCGCTGCAGTGACTAAACGATGACTAGCACCAGAAAACTTACTCACAATTCGAGCAGTCTCCCAATCGTCACTGCTTTCGACTAGCCTTGAAGGGTTTGCAGCAACCACTATCTGGGTTGGAGATAACAGCACCAATCCATCCCCCATTCTTAAAGAACCTCCAGTAACATTAACAACCTTGACCTCATCACCCTTTCCTATTTCAACCTTGAGCAGTGTTCCAGAGAAAGTATGGATGACTAGTAAGTACCCATTGGGATGGTAGACAATTCCATTGAGGCCAACCAAGTTGGAGTACCATTCTTTCGCAGAAAAGAGGGGATTTCCGATGGTGTTCAGTAATTCTCCATTTAATCCAACCTTCCAAATCTTGTTTCCCTTTGTGTCAGTGATGTAGGAGTTGCCCTCTGTATCCACAGTTACATCGTCTGCAAATCCCTTTTCACCCTCTGCAGAATTATTGAAAATACACAACAGAATCAGCAAACCTATACATGGCCCTTCACATTTTCTTGTTGATCATATATTCAATAAACATGGACCACCACACCAAATATCCACCAAGCATTTGACCTAATTTTGAAAGCTTATGAACAGCCAATGATTTAGGGTAGGGTGTGAATATTAATTGATTTTAGGAAGTTTGGACCCTATAGCCTAGCCTAACAGCAGTTTCTTCCTTAGTTTTGGAAGTGCTGCTATGCATGGCAGATGATTAAAAATCGATATCATCGTCTACTTGCAGTTGAAGATTTGTGTTAAAATGGAGGAATTCTATCAGTACCTGATCCGCTAAGCTGGGTGAGGAACAGCCGACTCCACGTGGTCAAGTCATACGCCGCCACCGCACTGTACTTGCTCCCAAACACATCGGCGATCGCGACGAGCACGCGATTCCTCGGCCGGTCGATGAAGATCCCGAGGGACGAATTCTTCCCCAAGCCTGCGTTGTCGACAACCGGAACCTCCTCCAGAACCTGGCCATCCTCCTTCACCGGAACTACCCCAAGTCCGCCCTCCATGAAAGAGACGAGGAAGCGATCGTTGACATCGTCCCATTTGGTACACTCGCGGAGCCATCCATTGCTGTGGAACTCGTAGACGTGAGTGGAGCGCCCCGAAGTCTCGGAATGAATGACATAAGCAATAGGAACAGCGGAGACAAGGAGGAGGAGGAGGAAGAAGTTTGTGGAACAGAGGAAGGAAGCCATGGATAAGGTAGGGGAGGTAGGGGCCTGGGAACCAGAGCAGACAGATCTATCCGTATATATATATTTTAATGGCGGCACTATCTGCCAATATGGAATCCAAGACTGGGAAATAGTTTAGTATCCAGTCAGTTTCCTCTTTGCCGGCGTTATTTTTAATATAGAGGCCGGGATAGTGTGAATCAATGTCTTCTTCGTCGTCTTCTTCCTCAACTACTTCAAATTCAACTTTGGTAGTCTTTAGGTCAGACTGGTGCACACTCCACTGACCAACGCAACCTCCTTATTCTCAGCAATCATCACTAAAATTGCTGCTATTTTCCAAGATACCAACCTCCAGAGTCAACACTCCAACCCAAGTACCCAACCCAGCAACATGCTGACTGCAGAGCAGAGAGAGAGGGGCAGATCTTTGGTATGGCTTAAAGCCCAAATCGAACCCAATTCACATGGCCAGGCCCAAGAGAAGATATTTGTTTGAGTTTGAGCACATAAAAACAAGAACATCGCCAAAGAGATCGACGTGGAGCTGTGAAATTGGCAGAGAAATGATAAGAAATTTGTGCACAGTATTCACCCCACACACCAAATATAAACCTAACTAGAAACACCTTACCTTCGGAAAGCTCGAATCGAAAATTGGACGATGGCAGCAGCAGCAGTAGCAGCCAGAGGAGGAGGAGTCACCGTAGCAGCACCAAAATTCATCACCAAGGCGTCGTCGGAATCTTCAATTAAAGCTCATGCCGTCAGGTTTTCCCTCTGGAAAAAGCGCGCCGGCGGGAGGATGACGTGCGTCGGACCTGTGGCGGCAGGGGCGCCGGACCAAATCTCAGGGAAGGTGGAGGAGAGCATAAAAAACGCGCAGGAAGTATGCTCCGATGATCCAATTAGCGGCGAGTGCGCGGCGGCGTGGGACGAGGTGGAGGAGCTGAGTGCTGAGGCCAGCCATGCCAAAGACAGGAAGAAGGAATCGGACCCGTTGGAGAATTTCTGCAAAGACAACCCAGAGACCGACGAGTGTCGCACATATGATAACTAATTAGCTATTGGGAATATTGTCATACTTATACATCACCATAGCTTGCACTTTGTATCTATGGAACACCTTTGATACTTGTAATATCAATGGAATAGTAGTTGTTTACATGTTTCTTTATTTAGTGGGCATTGAAAAGTGGAAACTTTAGAGAAAACATTTACAAGCAAAGATGCAATTAGTATTTGAATAAAGTGTGCAATCAATAATGCAGAACACAATGTCTTTATTTATACAACAAGAACATCAACCAAAATCCACACCATATGTAGCTTATAAGAGGATTCTTTAACACATGGCAATTCCCAATCAAGCAAAAACTAAAGATCCAAACCAAGATATTTAACCAAAGGAGCTACAAGCGACTATTATAATCAAGAACTGACTGACCCAACCACATAGGTAAACAATCTGTAGTGCATCTTGACAAGGACTATTACCAAAATTTGTCAATACTGGAACACATTAGCATTAGCTGGGATGGCTTGGGTCGGGCAAGGCAGCTGCCACGGCTCAAGCAAAGCGTCGGGGATATCCTGGATGTCCAAAGACAGGCCACTCACTTCGGATGCAATCTCAATGACAGAATTCAGAGATCGGAGGCGGTCGGTCAGCTCCATAACTTGAGCCCTCAGCACGTTGTTGTTTGAGGCAGAATCGAGGTAGCGCTGAGAGGCATCATCGATCATTTGCATCAGCTTCTTGTTCTCTTCTTGCAGATGGCTCTGTTCAGTAACTAGCTCATCCAAGTGTTGTTGCTTCCTCATTCGGGACCGCCGGGCAGATTCCCTGTTGGACAGCTTGCGCTTTCTCTTCTTGTCATCATCTATTTCAGAAATTGGGCTTACTGGCTGTTGAGTTGATGCCATTCTGGATTGTATCTGCTTCTTGGATTGGCACTTGTGAATATTTTAGAAAACTAGGATGTACCCTAGCTTGATCTGAGTTTGAAGACTTGGTTGGACAAGCAAAAGTTTGGATTTGACACTATGGAATTAGGGTTTCAAGGAATTGAAGGCAGGCGAGTTCATGAAAACACATAGAACCAATAGAGAAAAACCACCGAAAATGAATGCAGAATTCTAATTCGGCGCATCAGGACAGCGATTGTCATAAAAATTCACGAAAAAAAGTAAGGAAACATAGAAACGATCATTCAGATCTAATCACCAAGTCTCGATTTGCGACTGTTGTGCGCAGCTCCGTAGAGATGTTAGTTCAGTACCCAACCAAATCCGATTGCTCCAAAAAGTATCTGTAATCGGAGAAAAAAAAAAAAAAAAAAAAACATTAACATCGCCGTCGAATTATACAGCACCAAATCCACAACAAATCAACGTAGATTATTCAACTAACCCTAGAAAAAAAAAAAAAAAAACATCATCAACAACAACAACTACTGATGAACCAAAAACAAAAACAATTATTGAACAAAATAAAACAGGAAAACAGGAAAACGAAAGGAAAACAGAAAACAAAAGGAAGAAAAAAGGATTAACGCTAAGAAAAGAAGAAAAAAGCTAACCTTGTGAGAGCTTTCCCAGGCCGATCGAAAGAAGGTTGTAACGAGTAAGAGAGCCGCTATTTATAGGCAAGAGGCGACTCTGGGTGTAGCAAATTGGATTATTTTATTTATATATAAATGGCACGCGGCGTAATCTGATTGGTGGGATGAATAAAAGTGTGAAATACGCTGGCAGATGCCACCTAAGCATTTACGGACTGAGTGAAGTCTACGTCCCTACGAATGTCCGCGCGGTGCTGCGCATATTCTTTTACGAGAAATTACTCAATTGCCCCTGACGTCATACCTACCGCCCCTACGTAATACGGCCACCACTCAATTTTCCCTTTTTCGCATTAAAAGTAATATTGCTTCGTCCCAATAATGTATCTTTTCATTTTTTTTTAAATAAATTTAAAAATAATAGGAATAATATTTTATTTATTAGTAAAATATGTAAGATAATTTTTATATTTTTATTTTTATAAGTAAAAAAAAATATTTTGTAAAACATAGAAATATTTTAGTATTTATATATAAATTAAGACTAAATAGCAAAAAAAAATCTTATAATTTTTTGAATTTGCTGAAAATATTTGGAACGTTTTTAAAATTTCAAAAAAATTATTTGAGACATAAATAATATTTATTTTCTTTTCTTTTTATTCAACTTTATAATTATTTGTTTAGTATTTTTAATTTGAAATATTTTCAATATTATTAATAAAGAAAGTTTATCAATAATAATAAAAAAAAATATTGGTACATTTAGTTTGTGGCATTGTATATAGGTAATATAATATAATGAGTTAATGATAATTGATTATAATTATTTTTTATTTTGTTTATGTAAGTACTGTTATTGATAGTTTTAGAATATTTATTAATTTCTTTAATGAGTAAAAAATATTATTTAAAAAATTATATATAATAAAATATATACAATATAAATTATATATTGGAAATAATAAAATTTTATATAATACAATAAATAAAACATTATAATTATTTTTCATGATTGACATAAATTAGTGTTACAAAAAATAAAAAAATTTTAAACATACATAAATATATTTATTTATCAATGGAATATATAAAAATAAGTAATTTTAAATGAATTGTACATGATATATATTACCAAATTAATTATGATTTATATTTAATTAAGTATGTTTTGAATGAGAGTGCATTATTAAAAATAAAAGCCATGTCAAATAACATAAAAATATATTAAGATGAAAACATGTCAATTGTTTTGAGATTAGACAAGTAATATTTTATATTTGATTATTATAATGAGTAGAACATATATATATATATATATATTTTGTACTTCATTTGTTCCACTTATTACTTTTATTTTTTCATGTTCCTCACATTTATTTTGTTACTTTTCCTTTTAAAATATAATTATATATTTTAATTTTTTTAATTTTTTAATTTATAATTTTTTAAAATTTTAATTAGACTAATTAGTTATCTTAATTATTTTTATTATACAAGAATTATTTTTACTAATACATTCTTAATTATTTATTTATTATATTCATTCTAAATTTTTATATCTACATTAAAATGGAGATGATAAATGAGATGGAGTTTGTATAATATTAATCATTATTATTATTATTATTATTATTATTATTATTATTATTTTAGTAAACACACCTTTTCTGTTTTGCAATTTTTTTTAAATTTTCAACACTTATAAAAGGTGATTGTTTGATTGGTCATAAAAGTATTAAAATGTACGAGTGACAACACATAAAATATACTCTCTCCGTCCTAGGTAAGATGACGAGAAAATTGCAAAAAATATCCAACACTTATAACTTATTATCATTTTTATCATGTATTTATCTCGTTAATAAAATATATCATACATGTTTACAAAAGTCGTTATTTATGTCACTTGTCCGTGCGTGACATTCACACCACGCGCGGTTACGCGCGATCATTACACACACAATTACTTTATATATAAAGTCAAATAAAAATTTTCAAAACTTCTTACACACTTCCACTAACCAATAAAATACTGGGTGTGTTTATTTGTCAGGTTTTACACTTGATTTTACTATTTCGATTTTTTTCCCTCCAAAAATATCAAATCAAACACTTAATTTTTATTTATTTTATTACACTAAAATCTAATTTTACATTCAAAATATCACATCAACACATATTTATATCTACTGCAAAATCATGAAGGTCCCTTTGAAATAGACCGGATGGAGTATATCCAACAAATTAAATGAAGATAAAATTCAAATTATCTCTTAGGATTGCTCAAACATGGATAACTAGATTTTTATAATATAAAATATTCCTTTCGTTCGGGTTAATTATGTCGATTTGCTTGGTCACATATACTAAAAAATAATAATATTTTAATGTAAAAGTGGGGTAGATAAAAAGTAAAGTATGAAAAAATAATACCTATAACAAGATAAAGATGTGTTGCTAGATCCAAGACATGAAAAAAATTGTCAATAATTACTTATTTATATCAAGAAAGTAAAAACCTTAAAATTCAGTGAAGAATAAGAAATGGATATTATGTATGTTTATATATAATTCTATTTGTAAATTCAAAATATTATTTGCAGTTAAATCAAACAAAAGAGATACTAACGAAGGAAGATGCAAGCCTAAAAAAAAGTTTTAATTTTGACCACGTTTAAAAATTGTTAAAAGATTTTAAAAATTTAATGATCACAATTGAAATAGAAACCCATATAGTTGGTGATCTACTACGACCTACATATTGACTTGTGAAAGCCGGAGAAAACGTTTTCCATCTTTAATACATACAATCTAAACTATCCAACATGCCTGAAAAACAACGAGATTCTCCAATATGAAGCAAACTTGCAATATCATTAGCATTAAGATGTCGATGATACTTAGGTGAAAATTTTTTAACGATGGTACGGAAAATTCTCTTAACACTATCAATTGTCGGTAATTTACTAATTTTAATATACCCATCAGTTGAAAATGCATTTATACTATATGATAACACCCGAAAAACAACAACTATCTTTTGTAAAGTTGACAAACTCAGTACCAAGATCATCTATTCGTTGTTAAAACTACAAATAATCTTTTTTAACGGATCATCAATTCGAAGAAACATATTTCAAGACATTTGAAATTGTCGATGAAACATTTGTTCATTATATAAAGGATTACATGAAAAATAATCACTACAAAAATTACAGTACGAACTTTCACAATCACGATTAATTACTCCATTACCTGGGATAGAACCTCGATTGTTTGATTGAGAGGGATTGAGTAATTATTTCAGATAAGATGCATCATTTTGCATCCGTACATAGATTGCTACTTCATCATCTTGAATTGACTCCATGAAAATTCTACACACTTATTCATCATCTAACGATGAAGAGCTACTCACACTAAAACAATAATATTATTTTGACAAGTGAATATCTATTTGATGAAATCTTGGTCGAATGCACATTAATTTATAGAATGAGAAATTTAGATAAAATTTAAATATACGATCATTATTTAGTAATATAAATATATATATATATATATATGTCCAACCTATGAAATGAAGATGAAATTCAAACCATATGTTAGGATTGCTTAAACATGAATAACTAGATTTTTATAATATATAATATTCCCTCCGTCCGGACTAATTATGTCACTTTGTTTGGTCACATATACTAAAAAATAATAATATTTGAATGGAAAAATAGGGTAAGTAAAAAATAAGTATTAGTATTATAGAAAATTTATTAAAAGATTGATAAAAATGTGATAAGTAGAAAAATAACGGTAAATTAGTTATTATTTGCTAAAATATGAGTAATAAAATTATAAGTGAATAAAGTTGCTTATACTATAAATGAATTGTGCATAAGTTTAACAGACAACCAAAAAAGAAAATATGATATAATTATAGCAGACAAATTGAGTATATAACAACAATTTAGATAACATAGATACATTCAATGGATTAAACGAAGATGAAATCCAAACGAACAATTCAAATTAATCAAAGTTATATTGCTACGTTTATGACAAATATACTACTTGATTAGATCTTTTTTCAATATATCTTCTTAAATGTAATACTCCTTCCATCCCGGCTAATTTGTCTCATTTAGATTAGGCACTGAGTTTCAGAGTTTTAGGTACTGTGTAATTAGTGATTAATTAAGAAGTGTATTCGTAAAAATAATTATAATTTAATAAAAATAATTTTAGATTAAGATTAAAATTACTGAATAGTTTAATTAAAATAAAAAAATATATATTATGAATTTTAAAATATGATTAAAGTGTATAATTGTATTTCCAAAAAAGAAAATGACTAATTAAGTGGGACAAATAAAAATAGAAATAATGGATAAATTAAGTAGAACGGAGGGAATATAAATTACTGAGATTGGTAAAAAAAATGGTTGATAATATTTCATTTTGATTCAATAGCTAGGAATTGTAAAATCTATATCAAATTTTGAAATTAAACCTTTAAATGGATAAGATTTTATACATATTCAATATTTTTGTCTATAAATATAGTTTTTCATCTTTTATGTAATTGCACTGTATAGCATCTTACTTCTCATTCTATAATCAAAGAAGTTTATTGATGTGCTATATTAGATGAATATTTTGTTATATTTTGTGCAAATTTTATATATATACTCATGATTGTGTTTTTTGAATATTTATTAGCCTTTCAGAAAATGACAAAATTGTGGGCATACAATGGACAAAAGGAGCCAAATCCAAAAAATGTTTAAGTGTGATCACGCCCAAGAAGACCGTAGTGTAGAAAAAGTGAAAATTTATTTAAAACAATAAAGTCCCGGGTTCAATTGACAATTTAAAGACTATGGATATTTAATTGCAAATAGGATCTTGTATTGAGAATTTTATTTATTATTGTTTTTTTTAAAAAGAGTGATGGGTAATTGAAGAGATGAGAGAAACGCACAACAACGTTCTTACACACATATCACTCTTGGAGGGGAGAACAAGAGTCAATTGAGAAAAACATTGCAGATAACTCCCAGATGTAGATAGAACTTCCGGGCATGTTTCATTCTAAAAATTGGTTTGTTGTCAATTTTTTAAATTGAAGGCACGGTGGTATTTCTATTTTATTTTGAATTCGTTATTTCTATGGATTGTGAGTAATTCTATTTTCAGTGTAAGTGTAAATGTAAATTTAGGTTTGATATTAAATTTGTGAGACTTAATTTTGTTGAATTTGGTGTTTATTGATATTGAGTATTTTTAATTATTCTAATCTATGAATCTAAAAATCTTGAATTGATTATTGCGCACATATTGGTTTGAAATTCATAGTTATATTGGATATTGACTCTCCTAATTGAGTAATCTTCTAATTTGTCTCTAATTTGTCTATGTCGGGCAAAAAATTATTGAAGTTGGATGGTTTCATCGGTTGCCATTTCCATGGATGGGGGTGGTGTTTCTAAAACTTCTCTGATATGTGCACTGAGATCTCGTTCATCTTCTATTATTATATTATGCATAATAATGCAAACAATGATAATATCATGCAAAACATTTTTTTTTTTTGCCAAGCTTCAGCAATTATATACCAACGTGATTGTAGAACTCCGAATGCACGCTCAACATCTTTTCTACAAGACTCTTGTTTATAGCAAAAAATCTTTTTTTTGGGACCTCGTGGATCACGAATAGTTTGCACAAGAGTAGTCCATTTAAGATAAATACCATCAGCTAGATAATACCCCATATTGTATTTTTTTTTCCCTTGAAGGGTATAATGTGCTGGAGGAACAATACCTAGAGCAAGATTTGAAAACAAGTGCGAGAATTCTAAAACATTAATGTCATTATTGGTACCTGTCATACCAAAATATGCATATCAAATCCAAATATCATAATCAGCCATAGCTTCGAGAATAATAGTTGCTAATCCACTACGACCTGCATATTGACCTGCGAAAACCGTAGGTAAATTTTTCCATTTCCAATGCATACAATCTAAACTGCCCAACATACCTGGAAAACCACGAAATTCTCCAATATGAAGCAACCTTGCAATATCACTAGCATTAGGATGTCGAAGATATTCAGTTGAAAAAAAGTTCAACGATGGCACGACAAAATCTCTTAACACTTTCAATTGTTGTTGATTCACCAATTTTAATGTACTCATCAATTGAATCTGTAGGTATACCATATGCTAACACCCGAAAAATAACAGTTACCTTTTGTAAGGTTGACAAGCCAAGTCTACAAAGACCATCTCTCCGTTGTTGAAAATACGGATTATGATCTCTAACCGCATCAACAATACGAAGAAACAGACTTCAAGACATTCGAAATCGTCGACGAAACATTTTTTCATTATATAAATGATTATTTGAAAAATAATTATTATATAAATTATGATCTGAACTTTCACGATCACGATTAATTACTCGATGACCTGGGATAGAGCCTCGATGGGTTGATTAAGAGGGATTGAATAACTGTTCCAAATAAGCATTATTTTGCATCAATATGGAGATTGCTACTTCATCATCTTGAAAAGACTCCATGAAAATTCTACTCACTTCTTCATCATCCGACGATGAAGAGTTACTCATTCTGAAAAAATAATATTGTTTTGATAAGTTAATATAAGTTTAATGAATAAACCTTCGTTGAATGCCCAATAATTTATAGAATGGAAATTTTAGATAAAATATAAATATACGAGAATTATTTGGATAATATAGATATCTATCCAACGGATGAAATGAAGATTAAATCCAAACGAACGATCATGATTGCTCAGACATGGATAAGTAGATTTTTATAATTTATAATATATAATAATTGATTGGATAATATAGATATCCAATCCAACGGATGAAATGAAGATGGAATCCAAACGAACGATCATGATTGCTCGGACATGGATAAGTGGATTTTTATAATTTATAATATATAATAATTGATTGGATAATATAGATATTCAATCCAACGGGTGAAATGAAGATGAAATCCAAACGAACGCTCATGGTTGCTCTGACATGGATAAGTGAATTTTTATAATTTATAATATATAATAATTGATTGGATAATATAGATATCAAATCCAACAGATGAAATGTAAATGGAATCCAAATGAACGGTTCAAATTGCTTTTAATATAGATAAGTAGATTGTTAGAATATCTATATATATGTATTGTCAAATATAATATAAATAATTTAGATTAGTCAAAACAAAATGTTTTGATCAAATGGCTACGGTGTTGTGAAATCTAAATAAACGTTTGAAATTAAGTTTTTAGATGGATAAGATTTGATATCTATCCAAAATTTGTCTATAAATATATCTTTTCATTCTTTGATTTATTGCACCAAAACCACTAACTTCTCATTCTAATATAACAAAAGTTTATTAAAATTTCTTTTCAAAATGTCCATCAGAGGTGGTGGTTATAGTCATGATGAAGATGTGTTGCTATGCCAACATTATTTAGATATCTCGCAAGATCCAATTACCAGAAGGCAGCAATCCAGGGATCAATTTTGAAATCGAATCACTGATGCATATAACCAAAGTAAAAATCATAATTTGGAGATACGTAGTACAAGATCTGTACAAAATCGGATTCAAGCCATGGAGAAAGTTGTTCGAAAGTTACTTGCTTGTATCAAGAGTAGAAACTTTAAAACCCAGTGGAGCTTCAGAGATGGATATTATAAGTTATTTTTAAAATTTATTGTTAATATATATAGCTTGAAAGTTCTATTTATAACCTTAAAATATTGCTTACACTTAAATTAAGCAAAGGAGATACTACTGAAAGAAGACGCAAGTTTCAAAAAAGATTTTAAATTTGATAATGTTTAGAATTTGTTAAAAGATTTTGAAAAATTTAATGATCACAATGAAGCTAGAAATTCATATAAAATACCTCGAAAAAATAATTTCACTCATGTATCATCATCGTCAGACAACACTGCATTTGAATATCCTGGAAATTTATTATTTTCTGTTAACTTAGACGATGATGAAGGTGGATTAAATTTAAATTATAATATCGGTGGGTCTTTCATGTGAGCGTCTATTGGGGTGAAAAAAGCAAAACACCAAAATAAAAATAAAAATAAAAAAATGCTCAAAAATTCAATTATGTAAATGTATTCACCTACTAGACAATAAATTTTAATTTATTTTCCATATTAAATTTGCACATCTCTCTTACAGGCCGGGACGAGGAGCTTGAGCAGTGCACTGTGTTTGAGCGAATTTTGGATTGAGAGCTGGTAGAGCATCGCCGTTGTGAAGGCGGTGGAGCTAACATGACCGTTCAAGTTTTTTATTTTTTATTATATTTATTTATTTTTTTAAGGGTTTTTGACTAAAACTGATTAAAAAAATATAACTTAGATCAATTTTGATGATTTTTTAGATTCGACTAAAATTGATTTTTTTTTTCAAAAATATAGTTTATTTAATTGGTAATATTTTTAGTTTAATTTTTTTATTTAAATATGAAAAAATAAAATAATATATTTTTATATTAAACTTAAATATAAATAACCAAACAAACACAACTTTTATAGGATCTTTTGTAAGAATATATATATTTTAAAAAAATAATACTCCTTCCGTCTCACATACCATGTCTACGTTGCCGTTTCTGTCCGTCCACATGTCACTTTTTTTTTTAGAAAATAATTACACACTTTAATCTCATCTAAGATTTTTTAATTAATTTTTTTAATTTTAATTAAACTAATTAGTTATCTTAATCTTAATTTATAATTATTTACATTATAAGATAATTATGTTCACTAATATATTTTTAATTATCTGCTAATTACATCCCTTCTAAAATACCGTGTCTACAGTGTAGCAGAGACGATATATGAGACGGAGAGAGTAATATTTAATTAGTTAGTGGAGATGTGTAAGTGATTTTGACATTTTTGTTGTAATTTAAGTAAAAATTAAAAAATATTTTGGTATTAATGTATAATTATTTTTTTTAAAAAAAAATGAAATAAATAGTTTGTTTGTTTAATGTTTTGATTTGAAATTATTATTTTAGTGTAAGGTATAAAAAATTATGTTATTAATATATAAAAAAAAATTATCTAAATTTATTTTTATTTTTTATTTTTAGTTGTCATTTAAATTTATTTTCGTTTTTATTTTAATAAAGAATATAATTTTTTTTTTTACCATAAATTTTTTTTTATATTTTCACCTATTTTTATTTTTTAAATTTTATTTTATGATCAAATTGCATAGAACAAAAAATGAGTGTTGACCATGCTAACAAAACTAAGAGCATCTCCAACTATGCTCTATTTATGGTGTTTCAAGATCATTTTTGCATGGTGCTCCAGTCCAACGGTCATTTCATGTTTCAAATTTAGAGTTTGCTACAGTGTAATACTATTTTGGCTGTTGCACTGTAGCAAAACGTCATTTATTTATTTATTTATTTTAATTTTTTAATTTTTTAAAATTATAAATTTAATTTTTAAATTTAATTTTTATTTCATTTTTTTAAAAAATTTTATTTTAAATTATAAAAATAAAAAATTGTTTAAAATAATAGAAAAATCTGAATATTTGAAGAATAATAATGAAAATAGAGTTATTGTTGAAATAAAAGTTAAAACTGGATAAATAGAGATGATGAGATGGAGATAATGGAGATGATGGGTTGGAGAGCGAGTAATACACACCCACAACCATGTATCTAAAAAAAACATAACAAACATAAATTGTCATAGACGCGACAAAAATAAGTAGAAAATTCTGAGGGGTCGGAATATAAGAAGAAACAGGGGATTAACCTCGTCGGTGACGGTGAGATCAAAATCGGCCGGAGACAACAAATCGATTTATTGGGGAGTAAGGAATTGCCCGAAAAGCATCTCGTAGAAAGGTAAGCAAAGGAACAGGGGCTTTAAAATGGAGGTCGAAGGAGGAGAGCCGCTGGACGACAAGGCCAAGAGAATGAGGGATCTGTTGTCGAGTTTCTACTCTCAAGACCCTTCTTCCGCGACAACGCCAGCGACAAAGTCTTCGTGGCGATATGCCACTCTCGACACTATCAACACCGCGTCGTTTGATGCTGATCTGTACATGAATCTCCTGGTACACTTTCTTCACCGCTTTGATTTGCATCAATATGATCAATAGCTCCTATTTTTGTTGGATAGAGGCTGAGTAGTGTCGAATGGGCAACTTGAATTGTAGATTCGCAGGACATTAGAGGCACATTGCATAACTTGGATTTGTTAAAATTTGTGCGATTTCTTCCCGTCACAGGCGGTTTGATATTATCCATACAGTTGGAGTATGTAATTGTAAAAGCTGCTTCATACTCTGGTAGCTAGACCGAAATATTTTGAAATATTCTCCGAAATCTATTGCAGATGAATTTTCTCCCAAATTTCATCATAGGAACACAACCGCCAAACATAGCTTTGAGCTTGATTAATCTTAATGCTAGTAGCAACAATTGAGCAGTAATTATGTTGAATTGGAGAAAATAATATGTATCCAGGTCCTTGATCCATAGCTTTTGAATTAACAATATGGGAACACTTAGTAGATCTTGCTTGAGGTTTAGTTCCCTGCCTATAAATCTCTACCTCATCACTATGATGAGATTATGTGGGTATGATGAATGCAATTGCAGAAGTCAAAATGCAATTGGAGAATGGCTTGAAATGTGTTTCATTGGAATGTTGTCGATCAAAGGGGGCATGCTGCAGTGTGTTGCTTATGTTCTTTGTTTGTAAGAAGGATTTTATGGAAAACTAGACTGTAGCCATTTATTTATTCTTCTTCAATGGAGATAACAGTAGATTTTTGTAATCGAAGTTTGTTTGCTTCATCTACTACGTTCAAATGATATGAAATTGGCATTGTTGTATTTGATTCACCATTTGTACCCTTTCCCTCTGACATTAAGTATCACGATCTTCTCTGGCTCATACATGAGGTATGCTAAGATAGCTATGAATATGTAAGTGCCTTCACATATAAGACTTTCAAATAACTTCATAGGTACAAAAATCAAATTTGGAAGGACTTCTCCAGAAGCATGTTGAAATGGCTGCTGAGATAAAAAATCTTGACACTGACCTGCAAATGTTAGTGTATGAGAATTACAACAAATTCATCAGTGCAACGGATACAATTAAAAGGTAACCACACTTTTCCCACTGCTTCTAGATTTGATATGTTTGTTGGACATTCTCATTGAACATCTATACAATTTTGCTCTTAGTTTAGTAGAGTGCTGGCATTTATTATATATCTTTAGATTTAAATGTCAATCAGGCACAACCCATTTCTTATGTTAAGATGTGCATGTAATTTGCTTAAAACTTTAAACTCACTGATCTGTGTGTAAGTAACTTCAGGATGTCACTCTAACCTATCCTCCTTTCCAGAATGAAAAATAACATCGCTGGCATGGAAACGAACATGGAGCAGCTTCTTGAGAAGGTACTTTTTTAAATGGACATCTGGTTATTTTCAGATGGCATATTTCCAATATTGATTTTAAAATCAGATATCCATGACATGTTCCAGATTATGTCTGTACAATCTAGAAGTGATGGAGTCGACACATCTCTTTTTGAGAAGAGAGAGCAAATCGAGAAGGTGCATCGCACCCGCAATCTTTTACGTAAAGTTCAGGTATTGCTGTGCAGATAAATCCTATAATTCTTCTCTTATAATCTTGTGCTAGAAAGCATTATGTTATTTAGGTAGAATTATTTACAAATAAGTTGAAGATACCTTATTACCAAAATGGAAACTTTTTGACTGGCTTTAACATAGTTCTCCCTTGCCTAATTTGGTAAGGTGAATATCCACTATAAAATTCACTTTAAAGGACATTATGAATCATGCACCACCAACAATAGTTCACTACTTGACTTTTGTCTTACTGGTTTTTTGCTTGTCTCTAATATTTTCTCGACGTTTTGCCTCTATGCAACTCTCTGTATTAATACAATTACTTTTAAATACATATATAGGATTTTTATCCTTGCACAACTGTGAGGAAGATGTTTTTTGTTATACATTCCCAATTTTCATATTTAACATGGAATTTATCTTAATGGTTACGTGCAGTTTATTTATGATTTGCCTGCAAGACTTGAGAAGTGCATCAAATTAGAAGCTTATTCCGATGCTGTCAAGTTTTATGTTGGAGCCATGCCAATTTTCAAGGTCCAAATGCTTTTACATCGTTTGCTGTGATGTTGAAGTTGGAATTTACCATTTATTATACTTTTTTTTCCTGCCTGTGGCATTGACTAGGGCCATATTGATCTTAAAATTATCAGGCGTATGGGGATTCTTCTTTTCATGACTGTAAACGACAATCTGAAGAGGCAGTCAATATAATTACCAAGAACTTGCAGGCATGCACATTTTATTTTTGCTGTCAATTACTGTTTGTCAATAATAATAATATATATCATGATTATAGAGTCTAAATTGTTGTGTTCAGTTTTAACATTAACATTTTAGATGGTTTATTGGTTATGGTAAAATGTTACTAGAGTGATGTTTGCCACTACAAATCCGCTGCTTACAACAAGGAAAGACAGAAAGGAATAGAAGATTAAAATAATTAAAATCTCTTCCATCTTGTGTCTCTAGTTGTGATTGTTCTGTCACACCTTATTTACATTTTTAGCCTTTATGCAAATGGTTCTTTTGAATCGCTGAAATGGTTATCCACCTAACAACTTATATTTGCAGGCCTTGTATCCAAATGCCCTGTGTGTGTGACTGTTTATAAAATGAAAAAACTGTAAATTTAGAACTTTATGTTCCATCATAAACAAAAAGACTAAATTTAACTTCTAATTCTAAAATAAATTAGGGGTGTGTTTGTTTAGGGGTTTGGATTTTGAGTTGAAATTTGAATATTAAATATTTTGAATTGAAATAGTTGTATGATGTGATATAAATAGGCTTGGTGTGATGTTTTGAATGTAAAATTAATTTTTACTATAGTATGAAAAATGAAAAGTAAGTGTTTGATTTGATATTTTTTGGGTGAAAAAATTTGGTGAATAGTTAAAATCTTTGAAAATCTTCGAAAAAAACACACCATAGGTGGTTTGTGGAGCTCTTCTCAAAACCTTGGGACTTTGGTCTAAGAAAATGAAAATGACCGATTTGGGTTAGCTCTCTAGGGAAAGGTGGTGTAGCAATGAATATTTTTATTTACTTTTTTTTTTCCTGAGGAAAGCTACATTTTATGCCCTTATCTGCTACTTACAGGGGAAGGTTTTCTCAGATTCTGAGTCCATACAAACAAGAGCTGAGGCTGTCATGCTTCTTAAGCAGCTGGACTTTCCGGTTTGTATCTAGTTGTTGGATTTTTAAGGTTTATTTATTTTTGGATTCTCTATTATGCATGAAAAACTATAGTATGAGTACAATACACTGTGTAGTTAGGCCTTTCCCCTCTAATGAATTTTCTTTTTGTATACACTATATATTAAGTCTCAGTTATGAGAGAACATTTTAATTCTCACACTCATTAGTCATTACTTTTTCAATTCTAAATAAGTATGCTTCATTTTTAGTTTAGGCTTTTTAACTATTGATATTAAATAGAAACAATATTTTTCTTTCACTTGGATAGCGTACTAACCACAGGTGTGTTTAATTTTAATTTTTTTTGGTTGATTAGGTTGAGAACCTAAAGGTTAAACTGTTTGAAAAATTGGAACAATATCTTATGGACCTGCGCCTTCAACCTACTGAAACATCAAAAGACTCAGTGGATGTGGAAGCTTGTTCAGATCAGAAAGAAGTTCCTGCGTCTGTTTCTTCTGGTGCACATGAGGTGAATAATGAAAAGTGCATCTTCCTATTCACTAGTTTACAAATTCTGTTACTCTCAGGGGGTTAGGAAAGTTCATATTCTTGTCTGTCAAAAGTCTAAGACAACAAAAGGTGTCTAGCTTGACTATCATGCTCTGTATTTAGCGTTATTCATTGTAGTTTACTGATTGAGTTTCAATGTATTAATTTCAGGCGTCAGTTCGTGAATTTGCTGAAGCTGTGCGTGCATATAAAGAAATCTTCTCACATTCAGAACCACAGCTATCTAAACTTGCACATGACCTTATTAGGAAGTATGAGTTTTTTTAAAGGTTTCATTACATTATTTCTGTAAGGGGTAACATAAGTTATTGTGATTTGCCTAAATCTCAGGCACTTTGAAGCTACTCATCAACAAATTAAGAAGCAAATTCACTCAGCAGATCTTGTGGAAATTCTACGTAAGTTTTCTCAGTTGCTCACCTACAGAGTTTACTGATCTTTGGTAATTTTTATGCTGTCACAGACTTACATCCTCATCTTCATCAGATAAACCAACAAGATAACAAGCTTTTCAAATTGGACCTATAATCTCAAAATTACTCAACATGTCAACTGCATTATCCGAAATTATTAAAAAAATGTATGGGCGATGAAGACATTGAAACCATTATGCAACATTTGCTGCTTTTTGACTCTCTTGTAGAATCTTGTACTGTATGATTTCTTCATTCGAGTAGCAATCTATACTTCTATAGCTGTTGGTTGTTACCCTGCAATGCTCAAATACTTCAAAAGACTTGGGCATATTCTTATACACATGTTAGGCTAACAAAAAAGCGAGCTGTGGAAATTTTTAGTTTACTTCAAACAAGGGATTCATTCACCTTGTTGTTGAAGGATCACAACTCCCACTTCCTCCTATTTGATGGCAATGTCTATGCTATTTGATTGCATCATGTTCATCTAGTCTGGCTAGTATTAATATATCGGTCATATATCTCAAGCTCAAACATAGGCGTTTCTAATTTGGAAACATAAGTATTTAATTTGGATTTAGTTCAAACCAGTGCATACTGCTCAATCTGTGGAGAAATTTACTTGTAGATGTGTGTAACAAGAAGCCTATTCAGATAAGTGTCTGATTATACTCAGAATTTTTGCGTTATAATCCTGTGTCTATTGCCATGTATTTGATTCAAATGTTTACAACTAGAATATCACTACAAAACACAATTTCTTTGTCGTATTTAGTACCACATAATTATTGTATGCTCTGTATATCTGTTATATTTTCCAGGAGTCATTTGGACTGATGTGCTTCTGATGGATGAAGTTCTCCCTGAAGCTTTGCTTCCTGATCTTGCCTTGCAGGTCTCTATGTGTGTCCATTCATCTAGATTGCATGGTTAATTTCATATGATTAGATTTATTTTTTTTCTCATTGTCGCATTGTTTTCAGTCTGCTCGTGATGCTCTCAAGGACTATTTTTCCAGTCTATTTAATCGTTTGTTACTTGGTATTTCAGGTAGGTACTCTGATTCAGTATAACAGAACTTCTGTACTAATTTCCAGTTCTGTACATTGAAGGCACATCTCAGCCCAACTTTTCTTCACAAATACCAAAATCTTTGTTCCCTTGTTTCCATCAAGGACTAAATAACTAGATAGAACATACATGCGTTGACATATTTGTGGTTTGTGTATCTGATCTTGTTTACACTTTCCTGCTTACCTTGGTTGTATCAATTTTACCAAGATTATTTAACATGGTGAATATGCTTATTATCCGGCTAACCCTGAGATATAGGGATTATTAGATCCTGAATGTATTTTAATCTTAAGAGCATGAGCTGTGATTTATTTGGCAGATGCTATCACGAAAGCCCAAGTATCTCAAAGGGAGGGAATACATGAAGAACATTATATACAGGAAGCCCTTGAGGCTAGCAGAGACGCAGTGATACAAGGCAGTAGAAATGTCTTACAGGTTAAGAATATATTAAAAAGTCATATTCTTACATATTATTATCAGTCTAGATTCCTTATATTCTATTTCCTTCCCATTCTGGGTAAAGGCTATCTTTTGATATAGACTTCTATTTTCATATTATTCTCTAATGGAAACTTCTAATATTCATAATCAAACTTCTTAACAATGTGATGTATGTGTATGAAACAGAATACCACTCTGTATGCTGATTGCACCCTTTATTCTGTAAACTAGTTGAGGTTCCCATAGTTGATTCCTGTATGTATCATATGTTACTCTGTTGGTTCTGGTGAAATATAGTTTGCAGAAACTCTCAGTTTTTTGCACAGCAGTGAACTTCCATCTTTTGTCAGTGTTCAACCATGTTATTTGATAATCTCTATAATGTGGTGTTTCATTGCTTCTTTGGATATTTATGGAGCAGGAATTTAGACATCTTCATGATGAAAACTCGGCATTGTTGGTCAAGTTGCGCGATTTGATAGTTGACTGGGTCCAAGAGGGTTTTCAGAATTTTTTCAGGAAACTCGATGGCTACTTCCGGCTGCTTTCAGGAAAGAGTCATCCAGACAGTCAAGAGTTGAACTTTGTAGAGAAGATTCCGGCTGATAAAATTTCTCCTGGGCTTGTTCTTGTGCTGGCTGAATTATCTCTTTTTATTGAACAGAATGCTATCTCAAAAATCACTGAGGCAAGGAACTAAAACCTAAGTTATATTTATATCTGCAATCTTTAAATTGTATATTCTTTATGGCTAAGGTCTTCATATGAGCTTCCTAATCAAATTTCAGGAGATAGCATCTTCTTTCTCTGATGGTGGGATCCGTGGGTCTGAATATGGCCCAGCATTTGTTCCTGCAGAAATTTGTCGCATTTTTCGTTCATCTGTTGAGACATTTTTACACCTTGTAAGCATCTGATCTTGATGCATAAATTACTATTAATTGCAATCACCAGTAGTTCTTGTATTAATATATTGTTCGAAGGGCTAAGCAAGGGCATGAAAGACATTGTTACAATTCTCTTGATTAACTCTTCTTGATATTTCTTCAAATTGATAGCTGCAATGCCTTTTAATGACACCTGCCCCTTTTTTTTTTCAGTACATAAAAATGAGAACTCAGAAGATATCAATTATGTTCAAGAAGCGGTTTGCGGCCCCTAATTGGGTCAAGGTTGCCGTCATTTGGAATTTCTTTTTCTTTATTTCAATAGCCCTGGAATGTCTAATCCAGTATTATAATATTTCTGTTCTTGTTTTTTGTAGCACAAAGAGCCTAGAGAAGTGCACATGTTTGTGGATTTACTTCTTCAACAGGTGAGCCATCCGACTGACATTTTCTTTAGCTCTTATGTAACATATATTTAGATTGGGGCTCTTTTGTTTTAAGTTTTTTGAACTTCCTATGTTTTATCAATTACATTGGTCTATATATTCAAATGAACTAACCACAAACTTATCTTTGTCCTCGTATGTTTAGTTTGAAGAAATAGGAAATGAAGTGAAACAAGTTTTGCCTCAAAGCATCCATCGGAAACATCATCGGACAGACAGCAATGGAAGCACCACATCCTCACGCAGTAATCCTTTAAGGGATGATCGGCTGAGCCGGTCAACTACTCAGAAGGCTAGGAGCCAGCTTCTGGAGACACATCTAGCAAAACTGTTTAAGCAAAAAATGGAAATCTTCACAAAAATTGAACACACACAGGTTACAACATATCTGCTTGAACCGAATCAAGCACATCCATGTGGCGACAGATAGTGATCTGTAATTCTTTTAACTGCAGGAATCTGTCATAACAACAATAGTAAAACTTTCCTTAAAGAGCTTACAAGAATTTGTGCGGCTTCAGACATTTAACCGCAGCGGATTCCAGCAAATCCAGCTGGACATTCACTTCCTGAAGTCCACTTTAAAGGATATATCTGAAGACGAAGCTGCTGTTGATTTCCTGCTCGATGAGGTAAAAAAGTCCTCTCTCTCCCAAGTATTTCGTCACGCTTGAAAACACGTAAACCTTAAATCAGAAATCCCATGTTGTCTTTACTGATTCAGGTTACTGTCGGCACTGCGGAGCGATGCCTTGATCCCATTCCTTTGGAACCTCCTATCTTGGATAGACTCGTCCAAGCAAAATTGGCCAAGAACTCCGAGCAAAAATGAGTTTTGAAAGAGTCGAGCTCAAATTAGGGCCGAGGTTTGTTGTTGAGCCTTAAAATGATAATATTTGGCTTACTTAGACACACTTTTCATGCAACTTCCTGAGTTTGAGTTTGAGCTTGATGAGATGAAGCTTAGTTGTCTTCAATGGTGACTGTTGAAGAGAAAATTTGTAGTAACCACACACACACATGTAGATGTAATATGTGTTTCTTTGTAGTCTTCCATGCGAATGATGAAAATAACCTTATACAACAGGTCCAGAGTGATAATGCTCTATTGACTA